CCGTGCCGTGCCCGCACCGTGCCGCTCCAGCTGTGCCAGGCGGTTCAGCTCCCCGCGGAGGTGGCCCAGGCTGGCGTTGAGGTTGCCCAGCCGCGGCGGCAGCTCCAGCGCTTTGTCCAGCAGCGCGGCCTGGGCTCGGGCCGTGGCGTTCAGGTCCCGCACGGCGCTCCACAGCCCGGCCACATGCCGGCCCAGCCCCTCGCGAACKCCCCGCAGCCCCCCGGCCACCGCGTCCAGCTGCTCGCAGACCCCCTCCAGCTTGGCCACGCGTGGCTCCAGCCCCTCCGGGCAGCCCCCTGCCCGTGCCAGCTCCCGTGCCAAGGCCTCCAGCCGCTCCTCGCTCTCCGCCTGCCGATCCGCCGCMGCCGCCGCCGCCCGGTCCAGCTCGGCCACCACGCGGTCGGTGACATCGCTCAGCTGTCGCTGTCGGGTGTCCTGCTGGTCCAGCGCGTCCTGCAGCCCCTCCACCGTGGCGTTGAGCCCGCTCAGGGCCCGCAGAGCTGCTGCCAGCTCGCCCTGCAGTGCCCGCAGCTCCGAGGGTGACGTGCCCCCAAACACACCGAACCCCTCCAGGGGCGCATCCACATCCCCGGGCTCTGCGGGCTGAAGCTGCTCCGATTCTTTGGGGGACAGCGGGGCGCAGGGCCGGGCACAGGAATCACTGCTCAGCTCTCCCACAGCCGCCTCCAGCCGCCCTGTCCGGTTGCGGAGCTGCTCCAGCTCCTCGGCCAGCGCCTCGCCCCGCTCCCCCAGGAGCCCCCCAAGGGTCCCGGCCAGCCCGTCCCCCCAAAAACCTTCGGTGTCCTCGGGCTGCGGGAGGTGCGGGCCGAGCACCCCTGGGCAGGGGTGGCCACAGCGGGCCAGCAGCCCCTCCAGCTGCTCCAGGCGAGCTCCGCGCTGTGCCCCGCTGGCCGCCAGCCCCTCCACCGCCCGGCTGAGGTTGGCCAACCGCCCCGGCAGCCCACCCGGCCGCCCCTCGGGCTCGGAGAGCCACGGGCCGGCCCGCGAAGCGTTCAGCCGCCCCTCCAGCTCAGCCAGCCGCCGCGCCAGCACCGGTCCCTGCCCCTGTCCCTGTCCCTGCCCCGGCCCCGCCGCCGGCACCGGCAGCCCCTCCAGCCGCCGCTCGATCTCGGCCAGGCGGCGGAGCAGGTCCGGGGGCGGCGGGGGCGCGGGGGCCAGGCGGCTGCTCAGGCTGCTGATGTGCCGCCGCACCGACTCCACCGCATCCTTGTTGCGCTGGTCCACCGAGCCCACCAGCTTCTCCAGAGCCCGCATGCGGTCCCGGTCCTCGGCCGCCTGTCGCCGCAGCCCCTCGGTGCCGGCCGTGCATGCGGCGCACAGCTCCTGCAGCCGCCGCTCCAGCTCCTGCAGCGTTCCCGGGACCCCCGGGCCCCCCGGGCCATCCCGGCCGCTCTCGGTGCGGCGCAGGCGGGTCTCCAGCTCCTCCAGCCGCCGCTGGAGGTGGCTCAGCGCTTCCCGCACCTCGGCGGGGGCCGCGTCCGCCGGCTGCTCGGCCCCGGGCTGTCCCTCCACCGCCGCCCGGGGCGGCTCCTGCCCGGCCCGCAGCTCCTCTATCTGCTCGCTCAGCCGCCGAACCTGCTCCTCCAGCCGCCGCACCTTCTCCGTGTCCCCACCGCCTGCCAGGCACCGCCAGGCTCGGGGTCACTCGCCCGCGGCCACAGCGCATTCCCCACCAGCCCGTCCCCCAAAACCACAGCGTTACCTTCGCCCCCCATGCCACTGAGGGGATTGCCGAAGCCAGAGAGCGGGGGGCGGCCGGGCCGGGCCGGGGGGCGGCCGGTGGGCTGGGGGGACGCTGGAGAGGGTCCCTCAGTGCAGTCCGGACCCGAGTACCCCTGGCAGCAGCGCCACACCAGCTCGGACACCGTTCGCTGCGACACTTTGTAGCGGGGCCGGAGGAAGCTGCGGTACCTGCGGGTGGGGGGGACACAAATTGAGGGGTGAGAGGAAGGGTGTGGCACTGCCCCAGGGAACCAAACCTAGCACGGGCTGTAGCTTGAGCCAGCAGCACCGGTCCCTTGCTGTATGGGGGTGTGTCCCTGTCCCCACCCAGCCCTGTCACCCTGTCACCACTGTCACCCCAACACCAGTATCACCCCATCACTGGTCTGCAGAGCTGCGGGGTGCCCCAGGCTGGGTTCTGGCTGCACGTGATGGCGGGGACAGTGGCCGGTCACTCTCCAGCACCGCTTGAGGTCACCAGCTCTTGCGCAAAAGTAAATATGACCCCGGGATGGGTAAACACCAGTGGCGGCGGCGNGACCGCAATCAGCCCCGGCTCTGTGCTGGACCCCAGAGCGCCCTGAATCCCTGTAGAGCACCCCAGAACACCCTGAACCCCTCTAGAGATCCCCAGAACGCCCTAAACCCCTCTAGAGCCCCCCAGAGTGCCCTGAACCCCTCTAGAGCCCCCCAGAGCGCCCTGAACCCCTGTAGAGCCCCCCAGAGCACCCTGAACCCCTCTAGAGCCCTCCAGAGCACTCTGAACCCCTCTAGAGCCCTTCAGAAAACCCTGAACACCTCTAGAGCCCCCCAGAGTGCACTGAACCCCTTTAGAGCCCTCCAGAGCGCCCTAAACCCCTCTAGAGCACCCCAGAATGCCCTGAACCCCTCTAGAGCCCCCCAGAACGYCCTGAACCCSTCTAGAGCCCCCCAGAACGCCCTGAACCCCTCTAGAGCCCCCCAGAGCACTCTGAACCCCTCTAGAGCCCTCCAGAGTGCACTGAACCCCTCTAGAGCCCCCCAGAACACCCTGAAACCCTTTAGAGCCCTCCAGAGTGCACTGAACCCCTCTAGAGCCCCCCAGAACACCCTGAACACCTCTAGAGAGTCCTGAACCCCTCTAGAGCCCTCCAGAACACCCTGAAACCCTTTAGAGCCCTCCAGAGTGCACTGAACCCCTCTAGAGCCCCCCAGAGCACCCTGAACCCCTCTAGAGCCCCCCAGAGTGCCCTGAACCCCTCTAGAGCCTCCCAGAGCACCCTGAACCCCTCTAGAGCCTCCCAGAAAACCCTGAACACCTCTAGAGCCTCCCAGAACGCCCTGAACCCCTCTAGAGCCCACCAGAGCGTTCTGAACCCCTCTAGAGCCCCCCAGAGCGCCCTGAACCCCTCTAGAGCCCCCCAGAACCCCCTGAACCCCTGTAGAGCCCCCCGGCCCCATTCTGGCCCCACTCACGCCAGGACACGGGGGCACTGCAGCTGCCCCCAGGCGCAGGGTTGGTAGTCTGGTTTGATGAAACTCTCGACGCCATCCTCCACCACACAGCTCACGCTGCGTGACACCACGTAGGCACACCAATTCCTGCCGGAGGGAAGGGAAGGGGTCAGCTCACACACACACCCCGAATGCACCGGGCATCATCCTGGACWCAGCAGCATTGTCCTGGCGTGGAGCCAGCACAGCACCTGCTGGGCAGCGTCCGGGCACACAGCGGGCATTGTCATGGCACACAGCGGGCATCCTGACACAGAGCAGGCACTGGCATTGYCCCAGCAGGAACCGAGCATCCTCCCGGCACAGAGCAGGCACCAGGCTTCACCCGGAGCAGCCACAGCATCGCCGCCGGCCCCAGGCATTCCCAGACACGCAGAGGATCCCGCAGAACGCTCCGGTGCCCCCGGCACACCCCGGATCCCGCAGAACGCTCCGGTGCCCCTGGGCACACCCCGGACCCCCCGGCACACCCCGGATCCCGCAGAACGCTCCTGTGCCCCCGACACACCCCGGATCCCCCGGCACACCCCGGATCCCGCAGAACGCTCCGGTGCCCCCGACACACCCCGGATCCCCCGGCACACCCCGGATCCCCCGGCACTCCCCGGATCCCCCGGGCACACCCCGGATCCCCCGGCACACCCCGGATCCCCCAGCACGCTCCTGTGCCCCTGGGCACACCCCGGATCCCCCGGCACTCCCCGGATCCCGCAGAACGCTCCGGTGCCCCTGGGCACACCCCGGATCCCCCGGCACTCCCCGGATCCCCCGGCACACCCCGGATCCCCCGGCACGCTCCCGTGCCCCCGGCACTCCCCGGATCCCCCGGCACACCCCGGATCCCCCGGCACGCTCCCGTGCTCGCCCAACCAGCTCCACCAGTAGCACGGTCACGGCCCGGTGCGGCAGGTTAATGGGCCACATCTTTCCCCACCACAGCCGCTCAATCCTGCCTGGCCACCCTGCAGGAACAGCTACAGCCCTGAGCCATGGGGCTGCCCTCAGGAGCCCTGCGGGGATGGGGCTGTGCCAGGAGCGGGGTGCCAACTCCCCATCAAAGCGCGCTGTGGGTGCCCTGCACGCTGCCCCATCACTGTCCCCTGGTGCCGCTGGTGCAGGACACTGTCACACAGTGTCCCCAGCGCAGCCCTAACAGGCCATGGGGACCCCAACCCCCCCGCGTGGGACTCCAGCCTGGCCCCGTTGCAGGGACCCCGTTTCAGCCTTATATGGTCCGGMCCCGTAGCCCGGGGCCAGCTCGGCCCCCCCAGCCCCACTGAGAGCCCCCCGGGAGCTGCAGCCCCGTCGCGGGGCCCCGGTGCGGCGGCCGGTTCCCGTCAGCCCGGCTGGTTCCCCTCAGGCCCCGGCTGGATTCCAGCTCCTCCCCGGGGGCCGCCGGGAATTCCTGCGCCGACCGACGGCCCCCCCTCGCCTCTCCCCCTGCCCTTCCCAGCYCTGCACCCGCGAAGCCCTGGGACCCCCGGGTTGTTCTGGGGTCCCACCGCCCCTCACCGAGGCTGTGCCCATCGCCGGTGCGGGATGGGACCGGAGCTCTCCTGAGAGGGCAGATATGGGGACATGGGGATATGGGGACATGGGGATATGGGGACATGGGGATATGGGACATGGCCCGGGCTCCCCGAGCCGCGGGGATGGAGCGTTGCACGCCCCGACCCGCGGAGAGCCCCCAAAGCCGCAGGAAAAGGCTCCACCGTGTCCGTGCCCCGCGGCGCCGCCGGGGGTGCCTCTGCCCCGGGACCCCACACTGCGGCCACCGTGGGGCCGGGGCACCGTGGGGCCATCCCCCTGAGCACCCGTGGGGCCGGGGCACCGTGGGGCCATCCCCCTGGGCTCCCGTGGGGCCGGGGCACCGTGGGGCCATCTCCTGGGGCTCCCGTGGGGCCGGGGCACCGTGGGGCCATCCCCTGGGCCACCGTGGGGCCGGGATACCGTGGGGCCATCCCCCTGGGCTCCCGTGGGGCCGGGGCACCGTGGGGCCATCTCCTGGGGCTCCCGTGGGGCCGGGGCACCGTGGGGCCGGGGCACCGTGGGGCCATCCCCCTGGGCGACCGTGGGGCCGGGGCACCGTAGGGCCATCCCCTGGGTCCCCGTGGGGCCGGGGCACCGTAGGGCCATCCCCTGGGTCCCCGTGGGGCCGGGGCACCGTGGGGCCATCCCCTGGGTCCCCGTGGGGCCGGGACACCGTGGGGCCATCCCCTGGGCCACCGTGGGGCCATCCCCTGGGCCACCGTGGGGCCGGGGCACCGTGGGGCCATCCCCTGGGCCACCGTGGGGCCGGGACACCGTGGGGCCATCCCCCTGGGCCACCGTGGGGCCGGGGCACCGTGGGGCCGGGACACCGTGGGGCCATCCCCCTGGGCTCCCGTGGGGCCGGGGCACCGTGGGGCCGGGACACCGTGGGGCCGGGGCACTGTGGGGCCATCCCCTGAGGCCACCGTGGGGCCGGGACACCGTGGGGCCGGGACACCGTGGGGCCATCCCCCTGGGTCCCCGTGGGGCCGGGGCAGCCTCAGCCGTGCGGCCGCGCTGCTGCAGCGTTGTGTATTCGCGGTGAACGTGTTGAGACTCCAGCCCAGCGTGGGGCCGTCATCAGCCCTGTGCTCCCGCAACGCCCCGACCCCCGGGCACGGGCTGCCCC